TTTAGCCGCATAGCGGATTGCATGGAATGAATCATTGTACTATAAATTATGATGTAATAACGCTTTAGTTCCTCTTTAGATTGATGTTTTTATGTGGGTTACTTTTGTTCTATTATGTATGTCTATTGAACATTGCTTGTAACCTTTTATCGAAATTATAATAAAGTATTTAAGAAAGAAATTAAGCCTTGATTTTATAAACTGCAACACCAAAGAATATCAAAACTGTATTTCCTTTCAAGGTCCCTAAGTTTTCTTGTGTAGTTCTCTTTTAAGTATACAAGAAATCTTTATTGCATTACCTATAGGTAACTATTTTTACGTAGCAGCAGTTACATTACCAGTGATCAATTTACCAACATACCAAAATAATCATTTGTTTTTCTTCTAGCTTTCGCCCGCGTCTCCGTCTAGTACGTCCACAATTAAAAAAAAACATACAGACAACTTGAGTACCTTCTTCTTTTGGGAAGTGGGTCAAAAAACAAAAGTAACTGGCGTATGTGTGTTTCCAGACTATCCCCTTCATTTTGCCATATTTCATCAAGTTCCGTTTAGCCGTTTAGGCTGCAGACTCTAATAATCCATGAATCTAACCTTTCGCATTTATAATATTAGTAAGAATTAGTAAGATTATCCAGACATTGTTTTTTATAACTTGTACCGTACAAAGGATTTCCCCTATTGCTATGGCAACATAAAATGTATAACATATTTACAATACCTTTTATCAATTGCTTTGGTTTTTGACTCATATAAGAATTTTCCTTAATACACTTAAGGGACGAAGAATTAAGTTGCAAGTTGTCGACACAATAACATCTCACCAGAGTCCATTATAAAGCACCTTTTAATAAAACAAAATAAACATACTCAAGAGTCAGGTAGCTAAGAAATGAAGATGTGGTCTAAATCACTAATTAATCCTCTTTCATTGAAACCTACGATGCATTTAAACTTTACATCGCAATAAAAACCTTAATCCTATATACGTAAGGTTTATATTACTAATGCCATCTTCGTTATATTAAACAAAAAACGATATTTTGCTAAGTCAGCATGCTTAGTAGTTACACTCAGTTGCAATAACATCGTCCAGAATTATTACAACATAATATT